GTGGTTTGTGGAATGGATACCTGGGGACCATCCTGCTGACTAGAACCCAGCATAATTTTTGTGAGCATCTTGAATCAGTGTTTCCTGATAAACTCCCTGGTTGCCTTTTATCTCTGATATCTGAAAGGAAGGTAAATATTTATTTTGTAGTGATAATCTGCTTGCCTCAAATGAGGATCAGTTGCATACTGTGTACAATAGTTAAACGTTTATTTCAGTGTAATTTCTTCAAATAGCTGAGATGTTATTCATGGAAGGATGATGTAGAAGGAAAACTTTGTCTCTAGTATTGCCCAGGCTTCATTAGAAGACCTTTTCAGTTGTATGTTGACATACTAATTCAGTTTGTTCTGTGATAGAAGTTCATCTTTTTTGTTCATTTTGTTCATTCTGACCTAGTTTCTTGTCTCTTACAGTATTCTACATGAAGCTGCATAAAATCATGGGCTCAAATGCTTTAGTTTTCATGTTTCTCTCATCGTCTTGGCAGAAATGTCTGCTAAGAGCCAAATCTGGATTCCTCACTCTTCTCTAAAATTGCCAGGAACCAAATAAGTTGATGTGTTTTCAGACTAGAAACGGGTTTTGTCGATAAAGCTTTGGGGCAGTGCTGAGCAATGTCAGCAAAGTCCATTTACATATCCATGGCAATGTAAAGGCTCTATAAATCTTTACATTTCTGTGGTGATGTAAAGGGATGTTAATTTTTTTATGCATATCTTAAAGTTCCTTTTTATAGTACCAAATGACTGGTCTAAATGAGAATGAGACCCATTGCCTTGGAGTGCAGCTCTGTTCTGCAAAAGGACTGTAAAACGGATTCCAAGAGCTTCATTCATATTGTGTGCCAGTAATTTTTACATGAAATATGTTCAATCTGCAAGTCAAAATTTCTTTCTCACAGTACATCTGGAATCTTAGAATCAAGCTGGATTCTCTTCCTCCCCTACATCATCTGCAGGAATAGACATTGAGAACAGCAGTCGATGCACTCACTTTCTGACAGTTTTCCTATTGCTTTTGATGGGTTTGCGTAGTTAGAACAAATGTGAACACTTTTGCAGAAAGGAGTATGCTCCAGATTGCCTTCGGTTGTGTTGGCTTTGTTTGGGATAAGGAGAACTGAAGTGTAGCTCATATTTGTTATTGGAGTCAACTGTTAGATTATGAATGAATAAAGAAAGGTGAGCTATGGAATGTGGTGCTATAATTTTCTTCAGTGTAATTCTCCATGGATGTTATTACTAAAACACTGTGAATAAATTCATTTGGTGCTCCCAACTAGTGAAGTCTTTATGATGCTTTTTTAGGATGTTATGGCTGATGAATACATAAAGTATATTTTAATTACTTGTTTGTTGTTACGAGGGCATGTAGTTTCTACATCAGTGAGTTAGAAAGCAGGCAGCACTTCTGTTCACTAGTTGAAATCTAAACAAAAATGCTGCATGAAATCTGTCAAATTTACAGTCCTAGTCATGACACTTAATGGCGTGGGTCTCAGGATGAAGAAGGTCACAGGGATTACTTCTAGAAATAAGATCCAGCCCCCACCCCCATCTACCAATGTAAAAATAGGCAGCTTGGGATCCTCAGCATCAAAGAAGAATCTCCTTTACAATTAGACAGGAGCTGGAAGAGCTCAGATGTTGCCCTGGAAACTTTTGCCTTTTAATTCTAGGTAGAGAGATGAGAAATGCCGAGAAAGAAACTAGAAAGTCACAGAACTGCTGTCCAGGAAGACCTTTAAGGATAGACAAACATTAGTATTTTAGGTATCTACAGCAGCAATAAGTTTTACCTTATCCATAATAACATGTAAGACCATCTGTATTTAACAGAAGCTTGCTCCCGTTAAAGTTTATGGAAAATCTCTGTAATTGCAGTTTATGGAAAATCTTTGTAATTGATACAAAACTGCATCATGTAGCGCACTTCATTTTGAACTCCTGCAGTTCCAATCACAGAACTACAGCCTGTGCAGTTTTGTATTTGTTTGAAGATGATGTGTGTAAGTTATAATGACTTGAGGGTTTTGGCACTTAATTCCTCCCACTAAAATGCATGGGAGGAATTTTATGTCTAAACCAGAAAGATTTAAAAAATAATACAGTGAAGTAAAACTTCCTACATTTTCCATTTTGAAGTTCAGCTGTAGGAGTAGCAAATTCATTTTTAGTTTTAAAGGCTTCAGTTTAATACCAAGAGTGTGTGTGTATATGTATATAGTTGTGGTTTTTGGTTTTTTGTTTGTTTGTTTGTTTGTTTTTTTAAGATAAGGAAAAAATAACAGTTGAGAGTTAAGGTTTTGTCTTCTGGACAAGATTATGTTGAAAACTGTCGTATAGATTTAACTTTTGTTTGGACTCCACTTAGGTAGTAGAGTCAGACTGGACCAGCTGCATGTTGAAAACAAGCCTAAATGCTTATAAATGCAATTGGAATCTGTACACCTTAAACATAAGAATTATTCAGTCTACTTATTATGTAGCCCCACCCAACCCTACAGCTACTTAGGTGTCATAGTGATTTAAAATTAGATTTCCTGGCAGCCAAATGAGAGCAGGTAGGCACCTGTTACTGCCATGCTTTCATCTGGTCATCTTAATTTAGAGCACACCATTTTCATTTAAATAAAGGGAAAAAAAAAAAAAAAAAAGGCAAGCGGAGGTGTCAAAAAGAAGCAGGAGCAGTGAATCACTATGAAAAGTACATTGTCCAAATATCTCTAAAAGTTCTGTGGTTAGTGGGGAAACACATTCCTCACTTAGGCCCGTTAAAAAGCTCCTCACAGGATCCTGTCTTTCTCCACCATAGAAGAGAGCCCACCTCCCTAATATAAGAAATCTTAATCACTTTGCCAAAGCCAGACAGTGGTGACAGCTGAGGTGGATGTTCAGAGTATGTGGCTTAAGCGTGGTCTTTGATTAAACTTAAACCTTCTAGAAAACCCTTAAGAATTAATCCAGAAATGATATTAATATGTATCTAATTAAATTAGGTTGCTAATATCTAAAATCAGGTGTTATAATTAAGATTTACGTATTGCAACTAATTGTCCCTCGAACAGGGGACTTGTAGGGGAACTGATCACCAATCAAACAACAGGGGGACTGATCACCAGTCAAACAATTTGGGAGTTAAGGGAAATGTAATCTTTGCTCAGGTCCTCTGTGCAGTTGTGAACTTAATTCCTTTAGTAATTCAAAGCAGAGCTTAAACACGTGTTTCAGTTTTGTTTCATTTGGTTTCACTTTTTAACAGTCATTTGCTTTATGGGTTGCAAATAGATCGGAGAATTGTTTAAACAATCTAAAAAAATTGCACTGAAAATGGGAGATAAAAGCAGCATTATTATGAGTGGTAACTTGATTAGTGTACAGCTGGGGCCAAAATTGGGCGTCTCTTTGTGAAGCTGTTATTAATAGCAAGCTCATATTCCAGAGTGTGTATGTACCATGTTTATCAGAATAATTGGAATAACTGTGTTTTAGGGAACTGCGTCCAACTGTTCTTTTAATTTTTGCTGCAGGAAAAATACAAGGCTGGCAAAGCACGCCAAAATAATGAATTCATTGCCTCAGTCCATGACATCAGTTTTTTCCTTCCAGTGAGCTCTGATATTACGCAGACAAAGTCTTTCTTTGCATGTAGTACCTCCAGATTCATCCCATGGTGTATGGTAGAGATTTCAGACCCGAGTGAGAAACAGGTCCAGAAATCTTTACCCTTAGGGGAAAAGATCTGAGTCTTATATTCTGTGTCCTCCTTATTGCAGTTTCCCTCTGTTGCAGTGGTGCGTGCAAATGCCACAGCTGGTACCCTGCGTTTCACACACAGCCTAAAGAATAGAAGTAGAGCTACAAATGACCTGCTTAAGTATCTCCTTGCAGGTGTAGGCCCACGGGACTCTGTGCCCTATTGAATGGCATTTTTGCTGCCTATAATGTTTCTGTTAGTGATGTAAAATGTGGAAAATAGCACGTGATGCTTCGTGACCACATGTTGCTTTAGCTTATTTGATTCTTCCTCAGATTGTGAGGCTTTACAAAAGCAAAGGTAGGGATGACCACTTAGGATTACTGGGGTTTTCTGTCTTATTAGAAAATACAGTTTCCCTCTCATGTAATACTTCTTGGGAAGGAGAAAAAATATTTTAAAGTTGTGAGGTACTAAAATTTATGAGAAACATGGGTAAATACATTATTTGCCTTATTCCTTGTTCCTGCATTAAAAAGAGGGACCCATTGTATACAGGCGTACAGGAATTACCCTGAGAGCTGCTTTTAATAACAAAGGAATTTTGGGAAACCTAATTATGGCTTTTAAAATACCATCAGAGCTTAGGCGAAGCTCCTCACTGATTCCAAATGAACACTTGTCCTCAAACTGGTGGTGAAGTGTGAGTCTGTGTAATATATGGTGTTCATTAACACACCTCTGTGCCTAATTCATTGGATACATGTATACTGCCAATACCTGCGCCCTGTAATTTAAACGATTACCAAAGCCATAAGCTGTACGAAGAGCTTGGTAGATATATGCTTAAAGGTAATGATGCATTTACTGTGTTTTCATTCAGATTAGTGTTTTCTGTCAGCAGACTTGATGTGTCAAACTATTTTAGCAGTATTTGTCTTTTTTCCTCTATTCTGGCAAATCATTGCTATAAATGAATCACTGCTGGGTCCCATGAAATTCCAATGCAGTTTTTCATTCTGCTGGGTTTTTATCCTCCAATATTCAGCTGTGTGTAAACTGAATGTGAAGTCATTAGAAGCATGGGCTCGGCAATAGCTTGAATCACAGGAATGTGGAGAATAATGAAAAAATCAGTTGGGCATGTTAACTGCAAAACAGTGTTAGTGGTAATATTTCTCCCTTTTTACACAGAAGTCTAAAGTATTGTAACAAGCCATACACTAGAATAGCCTATTATTATGTTGATTTTATTAACTTTGCCTTAATTATAACACCTTTAAAATTATTTTTTTCTGCAGATCAAGGAATGGCTCTGTTTAAACTGCCAGATGCAAAGAGCGTTAGGTGGTGACCTAGCACCAGGCCGTGGTCCTGGGCCGCAGCCACCTCCACCCAAACAGAAGACACTCATTCCACCTTCAACAGCTAAACCATCTCCCCAGCCACATCCAGTTCAAAAGAAAGATGCTTCTCCAAAACCTGATCCTTTGCAGCTAGCAGAATCGAAAAAAACCCTGCCACAGAAAAAGCAACCGTCCTTGCCTGGGTCTCCTCCTGTAAAATCAAAACAACCCTGCGCTGAGCCTACTGAGGTCTCCCAGCAAATAGATCCTACTCCAAAGTCTGATCAGGCCAAGCTAACACAGGCTGAAGATAAGCAAAAACAACCCAGTATACAGAAGCCTACGACGGATACTGTGCCTACCTCTGCAGCACCAGGGCCGAAACAGGATTTGGCAGGTCCCAGACCTCCACCAACTCAACAGAAAGTGACAGATTCCCCGAAGCCAGAGCTTGCCAAGCCGTCACAGGACACACAGGCAGCTGGGGATAAACCAGATTCCAAACCCCTTCCACCAGTGTCTCAGCAGAAGTCAGATCCCAAGCTTGCATCTCAGCCTGGGGCTAGACCAGATGCTAAAACTCAAAAGCCTGTTCAGCCAACACAAGCAAAAGATGATCCTAAGAAGTTACAAACAAAACCAGCCCCAAAGCCTGATACCAAACCAGCTGCCAAGGGCCCACAAGCAGGGGCAGGTCCCAAGCCAGCACCAGCACAGCTGGTGCCTCAACCCCAGCCACCTCAGAAAACTCCTGAGCAATCAAGGCGTTTCAGCCTTAATCTGGGAGGCATCACTGATGCCCCTAAGCCTCAACCTACAACACCACAAGAAACAGTTACTGGGAAACTCTTTGGATTTGGAGCTTCAATCTTCAGCCAGGCCTCAAATTTAATTTCCACAGCGGGTCAGCCGGGGTCTCAGACATCAGCCCCGCCTCCGCCTGGTCCTGCAGCGAAGCAGCCCCAGCCTCCGTCACAGCCTCCAGCCTCTCAGGCAGTCCCCAAAGAGGCTGGTCAGGCTCAACCGCTTCTGAAAACTGTTCCTGTAAAGAAAGAAGCCAAGCCTCTTATGACTGAAAAGTCGGAGCTGTCAAAAGCGGGTAGTGTTTTAACGACTAAAGGATCTGATTTAGAAAAGAAACCTGGTTTGGTTAAAGATAGCAAGCCTCAGGCTGCTGAAGCTAAGAAACCTGCTGGGCTGTCGGAACCGGACAAAGCCAGCCAGCCTAAAGTGTCTTGTCCCCTTTGTAAAACTGGACTAAATATTGGTTCTAAGGATCCCCCCAACTTTAATACGTGTACAGAGTGCAAGAAAGTTGTGTGCAACCTCTGTGGATTTAACCCAATGCCACACATAGTTGAGGTAAGGCGATCGAGCTTGTATTTACCCTGTGTTCTTACCTGCAGGCTCCCTGTGCTGTGGAGACCAGTCTGTAGATGATTTTTAGCTATTGAATTGCCAAGAAAGATTTGAATGTTTCATCAATCTGAGGGCTTTTAAAATTAAGTATCTGTGTTGTATGAAACTTGGTCAGTAGTCAGAAAGTACTTCCAATGAATTTTCTGCAGATTAAGGGAGTCTGGTATGGCTGGTAGGTTTTTGAGGCATAAGCAGATAGTGAATTATGGTTATGAACTCTTGAAATTGGTGCTACTATTGTAGTATTGGTGCAAACTACTGTACTTTCAGTCCATCATGGGATAAAGTTCTTTTTTATATGCTTCAGTATTGTGCGTTAACGTGTGTGCTTCTTTAATCAATGCCCCTGATTCAGACAATTGTTGAATGAAGGAATGTGTTAATGCTTAGTTATTTCCCTTCTCTCCTGTTTAATATATCCCTAACTTTATTCGATTAATATCATTCTGGCTCTGGAGTCTTTGCACATGCTGATGTACTCATTAGGAAGGCTGAAGTTTGAGTGATACCTGTGTGATGAATATGTAATTTTTTTGTGTGACTAATGTAAGGTTCACAAAGTCACTTCATTCATTAAGGAGCGCGAGTTTGAAAGTGCCTTTTCCATGATTGCCCAAGACAGGTCCAGTAGAGCCAATTTATATTTAAAAGAATTAAGCAACTTATTTTCAACAGTTTCCTCACATTGCACGTTTTTACCCTTCCTTTCTTTCTCGTAATTTTTTGGCAAGGGGATTGGAAACTTTATACTAGCTTAACAGAAAGGTGGAGGCACACCTTACTTGCCGTATCAATGTGGTCAGTTCAACTCAACAGAAGCAGACCACCTAAAAATAATTGTAAGTAATTTAAACGTGTAAGTTGGTCTGTGTAGCACATGAAGAAAGTGACTGTCAATGTTGTGGCTTTGAAATCTGAATGAATAAATTAGAAACAGCTCCTGGGGTTAAAGGTTATCACATCTCTGCCTTAAGGTGAGAACTAATGTTGGGAGAAATAAAGTTGCAGGGAAAATATTGCTTATGTTGTCTTCATATGCTTTATTTGTGGATTGTTTTCTGGAATATACTATCATTTGAAAGGCATTTGTCCTATGATAATAAGCACATTTTATCTAACTTACGAATATGTTGTTTACTGTCTTTGTGGTCATTTAGGTCAGACAGAAAGATCTGAAAACACAGGAAGATTGATCAGTGATTGAAAGCCAGGATTCAATTGACTTTTAATGTTGCTTATGCACTGAATTCCATCAAACACACGCATTCCTTCATCATGGTCCAGCCCCCTGCCCCATACATGCGCACACGCATGTGTGTATACACACACACATGCACATACACGCACACACTTATTTAGGTTTTAAATGTGAAAAATGCATATGACTTTCTCCAGAGGTACTTTAGTATGCATCCACAGAATACCACGGAAACAAGATGTGTGAGTTCTGGTGAAACGCTATGCTAAAATAACGACTACGCAAGTCCTGGTGCCTGAATTGACTTCTTCAGAGCTGACTTAGGTGTGATGGTGTGGGACTGCCTTGTGGTGTGCAGATTTATACACTCTGTATTTCTTCTGTTTAAGATGAGAAGGCTGGTATTCTGTTTCTCTTTTCCCATTGCCGTTATTACCAGAGGACTCTCTCTGTTTCCATTCTTTGGAATATGCAGAGCTTGAAATACTATTGTTCTTCTGTAGTCTGGCTTTCTCATACCTTTCTTTGCCTCTTTTTTTGTCTCCTTCTTGCATTTTCTACTTCCTTATACTACACATTTCCATCTCTGTCCAGTTTTCCATCTTATCTTCTTTTTTCCAATCATTTTTGCTAAGAATTGGCAAACTGCTTTTCCTTGACAACAGGAGGTAGCTTGCTTGGCTGAGGACAGCCTGACTTTCCTTTTCATGAAGATGGGAGACAGAAGAGGGAGCTCATCCTCTCCTCTCCCAAATGAGCTGTGTAAATAATGTATTTAACCTCAGATAGCAATTCTGTCCCTGTATGCACTGTGTATAGTGTATACCTGTTACATGACAGAAGCATCATGACAAGCAAATAATTTATGCTCACTAGCATACTCTTTTCCTCCACCAAACTTTTCTAATGTTTCCAGTACGGTCTTGGAGGTTTTATTTACTTGTTTCTATTTTTTGGAGGGTTAGGAAGGAGAAATAGAAATGCTTTTTAAATTTTAAATGCTTTTTAAAATTGGCCTTTCTGGTGGTTTTCTATCTAGTTCTTTTATTCCTATATTCTGCGTTCAAAGGAAAAATTATAATTCCAGAAGGCTATATTCCCTCTTGGCCCCAGAAAGTGTTTTAGATGAACAAACATAATGGGTATTATACAGTTTGGCTTTGGGGCTGCGGCTGTATCACAGTGATTCTAACAGTCACTTATGTATTATCTATATATTGTTGCCTCAGTAATGGCTGAAAGTGAGTTGAGTTTTATTGACTGAGTGGTGGCTGAAACCTTGTTGCCAGCAAAGCTCGTATTGGGCTCTATGGTAAGAATCAGTCCCAGGGAGCAGGGAAACCAGTGTTTCATTGACAAATACAGAGGAGCGTCTAAATTCCATGGGCATTTCTACCTTAGGATCTTTCAGCAGGGAGTGTCTTCCAGGCACCGTGCTGCTGTGCTGCAGGCATGGCTGAGAGTGCTTGTAAGGGAAGAAGGTGATTTCTTACAGTGGCAGTTGGTTGTTCTTGCCTGTATGTGACAGAAATAACTTTCAAAAAAGTCCTTAAGCTGCTGCAAACAGTTGGTTCTCTAATAACCCCTCTTCTGCAGGAAATAAGAGAACTAGACTTTTACCTAGTCTAAATCAACAATATGCTATTTACTTCAGTGAAATTATTCTGATTTGCGCAAGCTGAGAATGAAGCTAGAATACTTTTTCCTAAAATGGGCTGATTGTTCTTTTTCTTCCCGATTTGTTGATCCAACAGTCAAACAGTTATTTACTTAAGTAGTAATTTATCCATGAAGCAAACAGCCACAAATGATTAAATAAATGACACTTGATAGATTTCAAAGACCCACAGTACCATGTGCGCCCTAGTGCATTAGCAGACTCCTTATTCTGCCATTTGCTTAATAGGGAGGAGCACTGTTTACCAGCTCTGTAATTAGCTTTCCAGCTCAGGTAGTTGGAAGCAGCTCTATTTTTAGTAACAAAGCACAAGGTCGCAACTGCAGAAGCCAGAAATGAAGTGTGTGGCAACGACCATTTTGTGCATTTAAAACTCAGTGAAGCTGTTCAGAATATTGAACAGGAGCGGAGATGGTTGCCTATAATGTAATAAAGTATGTTGAGGCAGCAGGGTCAGGAATATAGAACCTGTGATGAATTAATGTAGTAAAATAAAAAAGAAAATTTTAAAACTACGCTACGGAAAACTAAGATATCTAAATTTGTAGAATCTGTATGGGCAACAAGAAAGAATAACATCTTAATAGAGTCACATGCTATGAATGGAAAGAGCTCAAAATGTAATATGTGTGTATGTGAGTGTGCTAATGGATTTAATCTAATAGAACTGCCAAGGGAACAACAGAAGCACTTTTTAGTCTACTGATAGCTATAAAATTATCTGGAAAGGTACTTGGAAGTAAAAAATGTTCCATGTGTGAAATAAATTACTGGGGCTACAGAAAGGACAGAATTGTTTTGAATGAAGGAGGAGGACAGGGAGGACTGGGGAAGGGCAGAAGAGACATCGTATCTCTGACTTGCTAAGGATTTCTTGTTTGAAAAAGATGCAATCTGTTAGAGATGTAATCAGAATAGATAATATAAACCATTTCACATAGAGAGTGATGTTTGTTAATATATTTATTACGGCGAATATTGTCTGTATGAAATTGCTTGACATGGGTGGATACAATAGCAGGAATCTATAAGCAGGAGTCTATAAACACTGAAGTTGATGGTTCCTGTCCAATCCGTATTCTTGTATCATAGATCTTTTTTAAAAATATATGTATAACCCACCAAAAGAATGTAGATGCTTTTCTGATAACTTATTTTCCCACTGTTAGTTATTAGACCAAACTAAATAAATAATTTTTTCTTCTCCTCAAATACTATGGAGAGAGGGAAAAGCAAAAAGATAAACTCATTTTCTGAGTAAACACAGTGCTAGTATTAAACTCAGTAGTATAACCAGGTTAAAAATGGTACATTGATCTTCCAATAAGAATTTCTAGAAGTCACAGTAAATAGTTTGGAACTGATATAAGCCTCTCTGGAGATGAGGGGACCTCTCTTATCATGGCATGTTGTCATATACCTGAATACGTCTTGGGTTCTTGTATCTCCTAAAATTCTGCAGAAAGGGTACTGGCACAGGTGAGTCTCTGATGTAAATAATTCTGGCAGTTTCTGTTTTTCCAAACTTTCACTGATATCTAATTGCAAATGGAGCAAGGCCCTCGGCAGGTGTGACCCATTATTCAGGCTTTAATATTAGGCTTTAAAAAAGAATTAAAAAAAAAAACCGAACTCAAAACTTATCCTAAATGAAACGAACCCTGCTATTAAATGCCCAAATGTGATTTGGACTTATTAAAGCAAGTGTGCAGGAACATTGTAAAGTAATGAGCCATCTATGACTGTAATGAAAATCCCTAAAATGGTGTACTACATCATCTGAGATGACACCCATTGCCTCCCTTTAATTTATTAACAACTCTGTACTATTGTGTTTTTCTTATTTGAGAAAGCTCAGACCATTCTGCAAGTTGGCAGGTTCAACTCCTATTAGAAATTCCTATCTCCTCTGTTATGTTTGGTGATGAGCTGTTTTGGAAACAGATGGTGTCTGGGAAACACAGTGAAGAAGAATTTGCACTTAAGATACAAAGAGAAAAACAACGACTCCTTTCACTTGCATAATTTATCTTCTCTGCCTCTTCCCTCTCCCTTTGTATTTAAAGC